CATCTAATAATCATAATCAATCGTAGAACCCTAAAACCTTAAACCTTAGTCACCTTCTTATTACTTCTTGGAATAATTCCAATAATTTTCCTTATTTATTTGCCTTTTCTTATGGCCAAAACAACATTCGAAAAACCATCAGAAGATCCACTATGAAAATCGAAAGTGTCGTCGGGTCCACTCATCTCCTCTTCATTCGATGACTATATACCAGATATATACCCCATATATATATTCCTTTCTTTCCTTTCGTTGCTATAATAAACTTTACAAAATATTATTACTGCTAATAGCAGCTGAAATAATTCTCTCTTTTTTTTTGGCTGTCTGCGAAATGAAATGTGGACGCAGCCAGGAGGGAGCAGTCAGGAGGGGGCAGTCAGGAGGGAGCAGTCAGGAGGGGGCAGCCAGGAGGGGGGCAGCCAGAAGGGGGCCAGTCAGGAGGGGGCAGTCAGGGGGCAAGAGGATCGGAATGTGTCAAGATAAAATTGGAGCAATATGCAAATGTCGCGGCAGACAGACAAATGAGTGTATATTTAGGCTGTGTTTGCAGCGGCAAACACAAATTTTCTGTTTATTCCGTCCGTTGGATCAAGACCAAGATAAAAATCTATATAATAAGCATTGTTTAGATTTCGTTTTAGGGAGAGAGAGGGTAGAGTAAAATTAACACAAAATGCTGATGATAAAAAAAGGGATAGATGGATGGGATGAACCATACAGAAGATTGCAAAAGATCATCCCAGATCGGTCACCTTGCCTTGCTTACTCACTTTGACATCCATTCCCATCCATTCCCAGCAGTGTGTCAATAAATCCCGAGATGTCTCCATCAAATCAACCTGTCACTTGTTAACACACATTTAAAACCGAACCGAGAGGGCCAGAAAGGTGCAACAACAACAAGAACAACAACACCTGTCCAGGTTGACAGGCAATCGCCACCGAATTGCAATGTTTCGGTTTTACTTTTGCCTGCTTTGGCTTTCGGTCACTCGTTGTCGCTAATTAGGAGGCAATGGCATGAGGTGCCACCTTAACAAAAACAACAACAACAATAACAACAACAAAAAGAGTATACAATATAAAATACTAAAGCATCGTGACTCAGAGAACAAAAAGAGATATAGACTCAGGGGGGACAATGCTCCAGGCAGGCAGGCACTCCTTTTGGCTGCCAACTCCACATAATAAAGCACAAAAATTCTTTAGCAGAGCAAGAAAAAAGAACTTGGGAATTATAGTTAACAAAAAGAAGAAACTTAAAAAAAAAAAAATATTAAGATAAAAACTAACATAGAAGTTGATATAAAATTTACCAAAAACTTGAAACTTTTCTTAGAATTTTAAATATTTTTTTTTTAATTTTTCTTAGCCTTACACCTTTTTTCTCTCAGTGTCAAGTCCTCACACCTTTCTGGAGTTCTGAAAATTCAGCAGCCCAACCCCCCCTAACCACCCTTTCTTCATTTTTCGCCCTGTTATTTATTTCGTAAATTTGCACGACAAACAACAATAGCCATAATTTCCAAAATAAAACAACACAAAAACAAAAAATATTTAAAAATAAAAAAAAGAAGAAAAAATTAACAAAACAAGACAAAAAGTTGAAATGCAAAAGAGACGCAAATTGTTAATTGGCTATTTAAACAATTTTTTTTTACTCGCAAATTGCAATTTCATTTCGTTTTGTAAATAAATTTTAATCAGCATTTCTTATTGACTTTTTTTTTTTTTTGTGGTTTTTAAAGAGAGACAAAGAAAAGTCAAAAAAGTGGAAATTTCTGATGTTTTCTAGTTTATAGATTTTAATAAAACTAAATTTTTAAAGATTTTAACAGAAACAGAAAACCCTTTGAAAACAAATCAAAAATTCAAACAAAATAAAAGTCAAATTTCCAGCCTCTAACACCAAGCTTAGTAATAATAAAAGTTATAAACCTATTGATATGGATATATATCTATATATATATCTGCATTATATACTATAAAGACAATGCATATATGGCCGAATATTCGAATGTTCAAATATATATATATGTAAATTTAGCCGTTGTGTTTTGTGCTCGTCTTTTTGGAATTTTTATGGATTTCTCGAGCACGCCAAAATATTTCTTTGTTCACATCACAAAAAATTGCATGAACTTTATATATATTCATATATATATATATATATATAGTGTGTATGTGTTTTGAATGCAATACGAAATGCAATAAATATGGCTAACAAATGTCCGTCAAAGTAACAAAGTTACGTACAGAAAAAAAAGAGAAGCAGACACAAACATGCCAAGCGCATAAAAAACCGAATTTTAAAATGCCTCAGAGTGGAGATAAAAAACTAAGCAATGTTGCAGTAAAAAAAAGTAGAAAAAGAAGTCAAAACAAGCTAAACTTAAAATTAAACTTTTGATTTAGAAAACCTTTTTCTCTAATTTAGTAAAATATTAGTAAAATATCTTCTAAAAACCTCTTTTAATTAGCTCAAAACTAAAACCTTTTCCCACCTACTTTTCCTCACTCTTTCCATGTCAACCTCTTGCAAATTCAATTTGTATTTTTTTTGTTACTTTTCTCTCGCACTTAAGTGACAAAATTTAAGCCAAGACTTAAGCAAGTTAACAAGTTCTCTCTTTGTCATCTTTGCTTGTTACCAACTCACTAGCTCAGCTTGAAACAATTTCATGGGAAAACCAATTGGGGAAAAGATGCTGAAAAACAGCAATAATGTTATGCCAAATGTTATTAAATAAGAAAAAATATTAAAAATGAACAGAAAGAGAGGCGGCAGAGAGCAGTGGCAATATTGATAAACGTTATGTGGCACTGTTTGCCAGATTCAGGTGAGTCGGCTGATTGCCTCATCGGACAGCCCGCTATTGGTGTTACTAGAAAAGTGGGAAAAGTGAGAAAAGCAAATAAAACGTTAGCTAAAACAGCTGAAAAGCAAATAAAAATTATAGAAAACAGTTGAAGTAGCTGTTGAGCGAGAAAAAGTCATGGGATGACAAGGACAGACTATTAAATATAAAAACTTTCTTATAAAAACGAACTTAATTTGTTTATAATTTATAAAATAAACAATATTTGCCTAATGAAAAATGCAAAAAATCAACTAAAAATTAAGCTTTTAAACATTATTTAATCTACTAACAAAAACTTAATCTCATGTCCAACCAAGCCATTCAATTTATTTGTGTTTTTTCTTCGTATTTTGTTGAAATCGCGTATTGACAATGTTGCAAAGCAACTTGTTGCTGCGACAGCATGTTGCAATGTCCACGACGGCGGTGTCACGCGCGGTATTTGCAAACAAAGAGATTGGTAATACTGAGAGCCAACTTGAGAGTGGAGTTACCTGAGACAGGTAAGAAAAAAAAAGAAAAGAAAAGAAAAAAAGAAACCCGGCTCATAACTCAAACGGTAAACATTAAATCAAACGGAAAAGCGTAAAAAAAGAGCATGACATAAATAATAAATAATAGTAATAGTAAGTAGAGAAAGAGACAGACAGAAAGAGAAAGAGAGAGAGCGACGATAGAAGAACAAAAATTTAGCACAAAACTGAAAGATAGAACTCTCTAAAGGTAGATAACAACAAGCTGCCTTTATAACATAATTATGTTTATTATATTTATTCAGTTACTATTTATCTACCCCGCACTGTACCCCGCGCATAGGGCCATTCCCTTTTGTTAAATGCAAGCAGCGGCGGCTTGCACGTCGAATTTCCAATTTGTTGCTTCCACCTCGCCGACTCGGCTGCGCATACAAATGCAAACTTGACCTTTAGATTTCGAGCCGGAGGGGGGCTTAAATTAAAATTGGCCAAAACTTTCTCAATAAAAACACGCACACCTCTGTACATTGCCCGAAAATGTAAAATGAATACCAAAAAAAAAAAAAAAAAAAAAATAAAAACCTTCGAAATTTGAACACAATGACCAAAAAAAAAAAAAAAAAAAAAGGGGCAGAGAGCCAGCCAAAAAGCTCTGCAAATTTGGAGAAAGAAACATAATGATTGTCATGCCGAGATCGTCAAGCGATCGTCAACTCCAAAACTCAAAAACTCCGTAAAAAAAAAAAAAAAGAAGGAAAAAACTCCAAACTCGGCTAAAAAGGTTTTTGGTATTCGTTAAAAATACTGCGGCATAAATTGAAGGCAAAAATGAGGTAAAAATCAAGCTGGAAACATGGCCAGCTGACTGTAGATTTCAAGGGGGTTAAGTCCTGCAGAAAATGTTTATAAATACAGTCAAGCTGCTTGCCTTAAATACTCTTTAAAACATGAAATACTATAAGTTAGCAAAGCCTCCAAAGGAACCCCCCCAAGCAGCACCCCCTGTGAAAGCCAATCGAAGTAGGCTAAAAACCAGTTAGACCGAAGCAGCCGAAATAAAAAAAATAAAAAAAAAATGTGTGTAATAAAATAAATATGTAAATAAATTAAAATTCATTAATGTCAAACAGCTTTGGCAACGACAAATGACGACCAGCCAGAAAAGCGCTGAACAATAATCAAGAAACGAACGGACGGAATTAGTCGAATTAGTCACAGTCACTTGGCTGTAGGCGAAGTGATTAAAATTCCTTAAGGTAAATAATATCTAATCTTCTCATATTCATTATTCACAACGAAATTATATCTTTTAGAGAGAGTTTATTGGAAAGCGACTTTAAACAAGGCCTTAAAACAGGGTCAGGGTTACGCCAGGTTGACTCTTAAAAATGTGTCAATTATGAATCCGTTTTTAAGCTTTGCTTTCTCTCTCCATTACTCAGAGGGTTTTAAGGAATATTTAAAAAAATAAATAAATATTTGATTTAAATGTTAAAGATATTTTACCATAACAACATCTTGTTTTAAAAACTGCATATACCCCTTCTTTCCCTTTAATACCAAAAATTGCATCTCTATCACAAAAATAAGTTTCGATTGGGGCTCGTTATTTGTTAGTGGCTTATTTAGTTGCCCGCTTTATTGGCCGCTTTTGACTTACCAATAAACCAGTTTCCACGTTTGGTATCAAAATGATCTTGGACCCGTCCATTAAGTTGTGATCTCTGAGCGTTCCATCCTGAAGTTCCCTGCAAGAAGAAAAAGACAGCAACAATCATGGCCGTTAGAAGAGTGACATTAATAATGTTATTAGGGCTATAAATAATATAATATAAGAAGTCAAAATAAAAAGTTAACTTAAACTAATAAGAAAGTCTAAGAGAAAACAGATAGAAGGATTTTCTACTTTAATCTTAAATATTGGAAGTTGATTTTTAACTAACAAAAATAGATTTTAGGTTTGTTTTTTGAACTTCTCTCTTAACAAACATTCACCATTGGTTTAATTTCAGCATTTTAATGTTTAATATAATTAACTTGGCATTTGCTTGGTTTGCTTTTTGTTTAAGCTCTCTCCTTCTTACCCTTTTAAGCTTATAAAAAATAAGTACAAACGGGGTTTGGTTTTGTTTTTTAAGCGTTGATTTGCTGCTGTCAGCAGCTTTGCATGCGTAATTACGATCTGTCAAGGAATCAGCACAATTTTGATAAACAATATCAAAAAAACATAAACAAATGGATAAGGAGTTGGGGTCAGTTCAACAGGAATTTGATTTTAAACATTTGAGATTTGTTTTTTAAAGGCTAACTGAGGTGGTTTATATTAAAATATTACCATAGTTGGTAACTTTACCTTCTCAAGAACATTTGCAAGTTTTTTAATAACTAATTTTGGAAAACTGCTTGAGTATGTAATATTTTATTATAATAACTAAGTTAGTTAGTTATAAAAGTTAGCCTTTACTCACTAAATAGCATCTTTTAAGTTTTCAAATTTGTAGATCTTCTTAATATCTAAGAACTCGTCGGCCTTTTGTAGAGTAATCCAACCTTTAAATAAGAATATTTCCCCTCCTCTTTTTCCCACAAAACATACCCTTTTGCTAAATGGGAATTAAAAGGCGTTCAGGTAAGAAATTAAAAGTTCAAGCACTTTACAGGTTTTGCCTTTATTTTCTCTGCTTTTGGGGCCAGTTGTTTTCAATTCCATTTTTTGTTCTCTTTTCTGTTTCGCTTTTTATATTATTTGAATTAATTTTTGTTTTTTTTTTACTTTACTTTTTAGCCTGTAATTGCTGATTTTTATTTTGTGGTTGTTGAAGTGAAACAAAGTCAAAAGTTAAACGCTGTTGACACTTTTCAGTGGCTGAATTTTCATTGTTTTTAACTTTTTTTTTTTTTTTTTTTGGCCATTGCATTTAGCAGGTGTTAAGAGTTAAGAGAGGGTAAAGGAAAGGGGGGAGAGAGTATAGCAGCAACTGAAGCCGCCACAAAACGCCAGCAGACAGACAAATAAACAAACAGCTGCCGCTTATTTGCTTAATTCGGTTTACTGGTATAATAATGCAAATATGAGAGACCGAAATCGAGTATTAACTGCCCCAAGAATTGTTTATCCCATTATTTGCCTTCTTCATATAATGAACGTGCAACACAAGCACGAATTTCCAAAAGGGCAACCACGTAGGGTCTTGCAGATAATAAACAGTTTCGTCTTTCGGTCTTAAACAAAGCCAAAAATTTGTGCTTTGTAATCAAAACGGGGTGAAAAATTAGAAACAGAATCGGAAAGTTTATGTTTAAGATTTGGTTTCCCTCCTAATTTTCCTTTATTTCCATTACAACTTTTACTACTAACTAAAAGTTCTCTCTTTTTATCATTGATATCTACTCGCTTTTGGTCTTAACTTCATCGTAAAGTACAGTTGCCACAACAGCTTTTGTCGGCCCTGAGGCAAGTGTACCACACACCATGCCACAGTCATATAATTACATATATATGTATGTGTATATGTGTATGTGTGTACATATTTGGGTATAATCAATGTCGGGCCTATATATAGATGGGCGATGCATTTGTTTTGGCTAGCAACGCAGAGCATTAAAGCCACAACAGAAACGTATAAAACTCTGTCTGATCTGAAACATAATTCAAGCGATTGGGGCGATGGGCGGTAGGCGGTAGGTATGTAAATATGTACATATGCTTAAAGTCATTTAGGGCGGCGGAAATACCTTGTCGGCAGGTGGGATGGGCGAAGAATAAACTTAAAATTATGCTTTATCACAGAAGAGAGAAAGAGCGTTACATATCTTATCAGAAGATAAATTGGTTAAAACAAAGAAAAAAGAAAAAAGCCAGCAGTAAGAAAAGTTTACCAGATTTTCACTTGGATTATTGCATTTATGACTGCCGAACTACAGTTGCAGGCAAAATAATAGGAGTTAGGGTACTAAACTAGCAAAATATAAGTTTCTTGAATGGTTTTCATGAATGCTAGAAGGTCTAACTTTTAAAATGAAAACAAAAATTTCGTTAAGAATGTTTTATTGAAGTAAATTTTCCAGTAACAGTGTGACTTTACTTATTAAAAGAAATGCCTAATTTGACATAAGCAAGGTCACACTAGGACAAGGCATTGAAAAGACAGTTTATGGCTGACATAGTATTTAAGCCTTGTTATCCCAAGTGGACTTAAGCTTACATTTCAATAAAAAATAAAGTTACTAACATAACATAAGCCAACATTTTTCTCTTACTAAAGTTGTAATTTATCTTCCCATAAAGAAGTTATAAATTTTAAGAATTAAATTCTCAAAAATCAACATTTTAAAAACAAGTTTACATATTTTTATTCTATTATTTTGACCACAACTGCATTTTGCGGCGAACGAAAGAGAGTGTAACAGAGATAATGACAGGCAGAGAGAGAGAGAGAGCGAGTTGCGGCGAATTCAGTGGCGATGCGGTAACCCCGGCAACACCAGCAACAACAATGGTAACAAGAGCAAACGAATTCAGCCAACAAGAAAGGCAGCGGCAACAACAACAACAACAGCAACAACAATGGCCATTAAACGAGGCGAGCGTTTAATGACTGCATGCATGATTGATGAATTGATAAGATTTGGTTAGTTGGCTGGCACGAAAACCGAATTTGGGTCAGCGAAAGGGGCGTGGCACGATGGCGGCAGCAACAGCAACAGTACAAAAAACAACAACAACAATCGCTGCGGTTGCACGCAACGTTCAACTTTCAACACTCACGCACACGCTCGCATCATGGATACCGACAAGGAAAACCAACAAAAAAAAAAAATAAAAATAAAACTCCGAAAAACAACCATAACCGAAAAAAACAAAAGCCCCTAGAAACCAAACAATTTGAATTTATTGCAACTTTAGTCAAATTTATTGCAATTTCCACTTTTTTGGACAAGTTTGGATATAAAATTCAGGCAAGATGATGGCGGGAGTTGCCAGAAATTTTTAGGAATTTATTAAAGGTGAAGTTAAGTAGTTTTTATGTTATAAAATGTCTCAAAATATCTTAAAACCTCAAAATTAAATTTCTTACTCATTTAATAATCGAACATAAAGTTAATTAACTTAATAACTTAATTCAAAAAACTAAATCTGAATCTCTTTAATACATAATAAGGAAGCATCCTAAAATTGTAACCACCATACTTCCCAGCATTACGTAACGTAAGGCGGCGTTTAGCGTAACGTGTCTGTGATTTTTCACCTCGGGCAGCAGCAACATGTTGCAGTTGCTGCAGGTGCCAAAGCGAAGCGAACTCACCACAGCGTCGAGTAACGTAACGTTAGAAGAGAGCAGCGGACATAGGCCAGAGAGAAAATCAGAGAGAGAGAGAGAGTGCCCATTAAAGAGACCTTTTTTATTCATTTCCTATGCTGCCATAATTTTGGTTAAATTTTCATCGCTGCGTTTTCACAAATATAATCGCTGGGCCTAAAAGCGGTTTCAAAAATCTTTGATAGCTTTAAATTGATACCCTATAATATGGATAATGTTTATTATTCTACTTTAATGATCAGAATTCTTATATAAATTCATAAATGTATTTGTGATTTGTTAGTTTTTAAAGTAAAGGCTGAAAGTTATATTAATGTTATTATCAATGGGATACGTGAAAAATTGTTTTTCCTATCCAAACAAAATCCGATCAATCGCAATACGCGAGCAACGTAAACATTATTATTACCAAGAAATCGAAATGGCTTTCATTCACATTGAAATACAATCGAGTTTATGGAGTAGATTTCGGATTAGGTAAACAAATGTTTATTCATTTTGATTTAACTTGTTTATATATTAAAATTAAACAGAATTTAATTGAATTTTTGATAATACAGAGAATAGATTTCGGTTTTTCAAAATCCAACTAAACTGAATTTTCCATATATTTTTTTATGAAAGCCCCCCGGAAAGGGGGTGTGTGTGCTTCTGTTTTAGCATTTGTGTGTTTGTTGAGGTGTGGCTGTGTTTGGCAGAGTGTGTGTAGCTGTTTAGGCTTTTTGTCTGCGGGGGTGTCTGTGTTTCAGCGTTTCTGTTTTGTATTTGCTTGTGTGTGTGTATGTGTGTGTGTGTCTGCGCCTTTACGCAATAGGCAGCAGCAACGGCAGCAGATGACGCCGACGACAAAAGCGACGCAATATGACGCGACGACGGCCAACAGCAAAAGCAACAACAACAACAACAACGACAGCCAACAGCGAAGGCCAAACGAGTTGGCTCGGTTGTTGGGTGGTTGGGCGGCCGGTTAAGCGGGGAGTGGGTTCAGGGCGGTGAGGTCTGACCCAGACAGACAGACTGGAAAACTCAGGCATAGAAAATGCAGACATCAAACTGTACAAGCCGTGTTAAAAGCTAAACGGCTCAATACAGTAAAGCAATTACAATTAGTAGGGTTCACTGTAGATGTATTTAAGTTTTTGGAAAATGCAATAACAGATTGGGAAGGGTCTTAGAGGTATTTAAACTCTTATATATAAAAAAATCTTAATATCTCCATTTATCATGTTATCTTCTATATGAAGTAAATAGTTTTCCCCCTTATTACATCCATAGTTTTCAAGATTTATAAAGTAGAAAACTCCCTTCAGACACCCAATGAATGATTTTCCTTAAATTCAAACCCTGCTGTAACTTCCTTTCTTTTGAAAAAACCTGAAATACCCCTATTGTAACCGAAGCGTAACCGATAAGAAGGTGGAAGCGTG